AAAGATAAAAGGCGTCAATCTTTTCAAAATGGACCAAAAAGGAAATAGTGTCATGTTAAATGTAGGGGGCGGGATAGGATGGGGTAAGTATAGAAAAGGAAGAGAAAATTAATATGATGGATCTATTATGTATATATCTTAGTTTTATTTGCCTTGCACCCTGCATTCTCACCACCTGTAGAAATAGAAAAGGAAGAGAAAATTAATATGATGGATCTATCATCTATTTTTCTTATTTGTATCGCCTTGCACCCTACATTTTCACCACCTGTAGAAATAGAAAAGGAAGACAAAATTAATATGATGGATCTATCATCTATATATTTTATTTGTATTCGCCTTGCTCCCTGCATTCTCACCACCTGTAGAAATAGAAAAGGAAGAGAATTAATACTCCCTCACTTGGCATGGAGTTTAAAATAGTAAAGAAGACTTCTGAATCTTGTGGCCAAGATGCCCTTTAATCATGTGGTCTTAAACATGTCATGTATAAAGTTACAATTAAAGAGTGGCCAAAAAAGGAAAGAGACATCCTTTTCCAAAAGGACTTAAAGGGAAAGTCACAAACAAATTGAAACTGAGGGAGTACTTAATAATTAAAACTTTCGAAAGAGGACGAAAAAAATGTTGTCGGATATTAATCTTAATTCTCACGCTATATAATTAAACAAATGAGAAAAAAAAGAAAAATGTATGGTTGCAATTATGCTACAACATCCTTTTCATCATCTGCTTAATCAAATTTGTTTTCCATCTACCAGTGCTTTGTAAGGAATTATTTTAATTGTGTTGATTTTCTACCTTTTCTTTTGTATATGAGGTAGCCTCTGACAGTGTACATGTTTATGTAAAAACAAATATCATGGCCTGATTATCTGCACTTTGTAGGTGGAAATAGCTAGAAAACAGATATTTATGGGGTCACTTGAATGGCAAACACATGCAACAATGCAGCGTGAAATAGTAAAATTCAAAGCATGGCTTTCTTCCCATCTATTCCAAGAGCAATTTCCTGGTCACCATGCTGAGATCTTGCAGGCTATACCACTACAAGAGTATATGAATCCAAAATCTGGTCTTCTAAATCTAGCAGTTAAATTGCCACCGGAAATGCCACAAACTGATTTAGGACCTTCAATCTATATTTCCTATGGTGGGCCTGAAGAACTATCACAAGCAGAATTTATCTCTAACCTATGTTGTGAATCATATGATATGGTAGGCCTAATTTTATGCTTATATCTCTATTTATGTTTCATTTTCTTATCTTGACTGCAAACTACTGAACATTGGGACCATCCTGTGTTGTATATTTTCTCTGCGACTGTTTATTCAGAAGAAGAAACACATCTCTGCTTCTGTGAAAGTAATCCTACAAGATTCAGTAATATAGCATGACAAGTTCATAAAAAACATTTAGTGATCCAATCATCCTGAACCTCTTCATACATGCAGCGGGGAAGGAAAATTTAAGTAGATTGAAACTATCCATGTATTATGGCTACCCATAGGGTTCTAAATATGATTCTCTCTTATAGTATAAAGTAAAGAGTGATCTAGCATGTGAGAAGACGATTTAACTTTTGATTCATATTATTTGGATTTTGCTCAGGTTAATATTCTTGCAAGTGCTACTGATGTTCTTGCTTCCAAGGAACAAGTAAGAAAAATAAAATGTTTAATGAAAAATAAGAAGCCTCAAGATCACAAGGAAATTACCAGCCATTCCAGTGACCAGAAAGGAAAATCATCTCTGCATAGTGGAGACACAGAAGAATCCGATCTGCAGGATGCAACTGGAGAGCAGTTGCCTGATGGTATTGCTGAAGTACCTTTCTACTCTAGTGACTCACAAAAAGGTCAAAGGTATGAAGACCGAGATGGCAATATCTCCAGTGACAATGAAAATGACTCTGAATCTGAGTCCGATGTCTCACTGTTCTGCTCTGGATCTGTTGAAAGGTCTGAAGATTCAGACAGTGATCATTTTTTTGAAGATGTTGATGGTGCCAAGAAAGAAGCAAAAACCTCAGGTGCTCAATGGGACGTTTTCAGCAGAGAAGATGTCCCAAAGCTTCTAGAGTACCTCAAAAGGCATTCTAGCGAGTTCACCTCAATGCGTGGTTATTCCAAACAAGTACAGCTCTTTGTACCAAGAGTTTTGTGGTAAAAGGTAGAGCATGGCAATAGAAATTAACTTAATCTCCATCTTTTGGCACGTGCAGGTTGTTCACCCAATTCTTGATCAAAGTTTCTTCTTTGATGCATTCCACAAAATGAGGCTTAAGGAGGAATTCGGTATATTTGCTTTGTCTTCTTTTATCTTTTTCATTTGGATTAAATTAGTTCTAAGTCTTAATGTTATTACTTTTTAGATGTTCAACCTTGGACTTTTGAACAACATCTTGGAGAAGCTATTATCATCCCTGCTGGATGTCCATATCAAGTCAAACAACTTAAGGTATCCTTTATAATGATGACATTCATACTTCTTCACACAATTTGATGAGAAATCCTGCATATCTCCATCTCTCTCCTGTTCTTGTAGTAACCAAGTTTGAAAGAATAAGCACTTTGTGTAATGAAACCACCAAGAATTGTAGCTTGATTTCCTCACTGCTCATATAGATGTTTACTATATTGGGTATTTTGAACAAAGAATTAAGAGCTGTTTTTCTGGTCATTCATGGAGTTATTTCATAGTAAATGTGTGACTTGGAGATAATATTAGCAAAAAATATCCAGGTCAATTAAATAGTTCCCACCATATTCAAATGCTGGTTTGTTTAAGATGACATCTTCTGTGCTGTAACTTCTTCAAAGAAGTTAGATTTCTGTTTCATTAATTTGCAGCATTATTAACTGAAGCTTATTGATGGCAGTTTTGTTAAAGGTTCGGATGAGGAACGCTTATGCCCCTGAAACAAGGTGCAAAGCGGCTGGCGCTTCGCGTTGCTTAGGTGGCACTTCAGTGCAGACACCAAGGCAATACGGTGTGCGCCTCTTCACCCACGAGCTCCTTCTTGAATAAGACAACACTAAACACTAAACATAGCTGACTAATTGATGTATTAAATACATTAGCTAAGCTCTATGAATGATTTGTCATGATTAAAAATAGGAATTGCTCTATAGGGTGAATTAGGAATAGGAAACTAGAAATCCAGTATAAGAAAATAAGTCAGCATACCTGAAATTAATAAATAAAATTGCAACTATGCATCTGAATCATAAAATTATGGTTTTGCACTAATTTTACAACATATTTACTACTATATCTTCGTTCTTTACCCCTCCTTAGTTTGCTTCCTTCATTTTTTTCTCCCTTGTTCACTCGAACTCACAACTTTCAAGCTGGAAGTGAGGGATGCTTACCATCCGAGCAACTCCCTCCCTTCATATATTACTATATCTATTTTACCTTTTTCATATTTTTCAATTCCGTTATCCATATTTCCATGTTCTGATTTGACATGCTGGGAACTGTTCAATAGTTTTCATTAGCTCTTGTATGTCTTAAGAAGCCTCAAAACAAGCCTAACATTGTTTTTAATTTGTGCATATTATATACTGAAGCGATTCTAGTCTCGGATATAACAGTATCTGGGACTTCATATCTGTTGGTGCATAATAACTAACAAAAGATTCTATCCTCTGTCCACAGTCATGTATCAACGTTGTTTTGCACTTCATCTCCCCTGAAAACGTCGCTGAATGTATAAACGTAACTGATGAAATTCGTCTACTTCCTGAGCACCACAAGGCCAGGGGAAAAGTGCTGGAGGTAAGTTTCATATTGCCCCATCTTTTAGTTGCTAGAATCAGGTTCACACTGCTATAATATAGAAATTTAAGCATTTTAAGCATGTCATTGTTTGATGAATTTACGAACTTCATGCTCAGGAGTAGGTATTATGCTTGTCTAGACTTCTGTTATCATTCATACTTGGTAGCATGTCTATCAGTCCTTCTCTAAAGAAAATGCTTCTTCATCAAGCTTTTTAGTTAAATCCAAAATAGGTGTAATGTTCATTTACGTTTACGCTATCTTCTTAACATCCATTAATGTAACTGTTATAATTTAACAAACAGGTGAAGAAAATGGTTATCTGTGGGATGAAGAATGCAATTGCAGAAATTCGCAACCTCACGCATAGCAAACAGTCCTCTTGAAAGATGATAGACAAAACTGATTTGATGCAGATCTCGTAGACTTTGCAGGTTCGTGCTTACATACTGCTAGGGAGTAGAATCTAGTTCTTTTTTATGACAAAGGAGGGATGACTGGATACTGATTGCTTAAGATCTTTGTCACTTGGCAAAGATTTACTTATGTGTATATATGTTAGAACCATTAAGGTGTAACTCATAGATCTACTCAGTGACAGATTTAACTCATAAAAAGGCAATGTAAACATATGCTACTATTTAATACTGCATTCTACATGCTTTGATAGGCAAGCCAAAGTAAATCAGAATCCATGCTAGAAAGTCTCATATCTAGTGTCATATTGAGAGGTAGGTAAAACACTCTCTAATAAAGGAAAGAAGGGGAGACTCGAATTTGAAACGTCTGCCAAAGAATGAAGAAGTATTGATTCCACCACAACATTAAGGCAACTCTGGTTGTAACCAGGTTTTTTTCTCTGGAGAGAACTTTAGGTGTCAAAATTGGAAAAAAACTCAAATATGTAATTGAATTTTCAGAAGACTTGTTTATTTCCTTCGTTAAAAATTTGATTCATCTGTTCCATTTTTGTTTGAGAAAAGCTCATCCGTACCATTATCTGTTAGAAAAATAATGGTAATGAATGAACTATTTCTGAAACAATGATGACATAGATGAACCAAACTTTTAACGAATAACATAAATAAGTTTCTCAAAGTTCGATACATATGCTAGTTTGTTTCTACATCCTCTGCATTGTTGCCTCCTGTGTGAAGCACTGCACGTTAAGATTGTTGAACACAAGAAATTATGTCAACGCAGAATCAAGTCATGATATCAAACAGCACATGCACATATTCTTATAAATATAATGCACCTCACATAAACACAAGTATACATAACTCTATATATGCAAAGCACTTGCAATACTAGCTAACAAGCATAAGGTAGTAATTACATTGCTATATATAGCAGCACACATTGTAAAGAGCTAGTGATGAGCAGCATGTTCCTTTTGTGAATTAAAGTACAGTGCAGCCACAGGAAGATCAAGTCCATTGTCACTTGCAAACTGTCGAGTCTTGAAATTGGATCGCCCTTGTGGTGGTTTATGGGGCACTTGCTCCGCCTCCTTCTGCCTAAACAGAGTGAACACGTATCGATGTATCCCTGCCGGTGGCTTCGGTCCCATATATTCCACCATCTCCCTCCCTGCACCAAGTGAACAAACAACTCGTATATGCATCGACAAAAAGACCATGTGCGATAATAGTAATAACAACTTGGTAGCTACCCTGCATCTAGAAACTTAAAAAAGGGTACAATTAATAATAGTTATCTCAATTAATACCTTGAGAGGCATCACCTCCCTCAGGAATATCCGTGACAATCCTGAAAGAGATAGTAGCATAATCATATCGAAACTACTTTATTGGTACTTAAATATAAAGTTTTAAAATTAAATAAAAGACGTATGCAGGCTAATTGAAGGAGAAAATGAAACAACAATGAATAGAGTACGTACCAATGGAGCCATTCTCTAAAAGTCGGTTCACTTGGACTAGGAGCATCTGGATCAGCCATAACCTGTAAAATACAGTGGACCAAATATTAAAATTCTTGAAAAAGACACTCAATTTGCATATTTAATTTTCTAAAAAAAAAAAAACTCTAATTTTATGATTGCTCTTAGATGACTTTTGAAATAGTACAAATAATAAATAATTAATCTTACAAGGGTGTAAAGATTATTAGAATGAAGAGAACCCTTTATATGAACTCTAGGCTTTTGTGCAGCTTCTGCTGGCTTAATTTCAACTCCATTATTCGATATTTGTTTGGAAGCATACTCCACCGTAAAGTCAACCACCGGAACAAACATGTCCAAAACATCTCCGATCACCTTTCCGACCACTAGAGGATCTACCGACCTCGCCGAAGTTTCCATATTTGCCATTAATTGATTGATTTGTAAAACTGATCAATTTATATTTCTTTTTTCATGTGACTGAAGCAAATTTGTTGAAATGGACAAAGAGAGTACACGTGTTTAGAAAATTTCCACGTCATGTTAATGGTGACTTGTCTCAGCGGACACGTGTTTTCTGCTATTATAAATGCGATGAAAAGGAAGAAAAAGAAAAAGTTGATAGAAATAAAATAAAAAAGTAAATTAGCTTTGTTGGTAGAAAGGCAGCCCAATTATAATAACGCCTGAATGAAAAGAGCCCATACAAATTGGGTGCTTAACAAAGTTGCCCAAACGATATAGAGTGGGCTCAACCCAATACTAGGAAGAACATTTGGTACTCAATACTTTCTGTTGGGCCTAAACTAGAAATCATCTTTTCTTAAGATTTGCATCAACACTATAACTCATCTAGCTTTTTGCCTCGGGGGTGGAGGTAGGGGAAAATGGGAGAGGAGATTATAAGATGGAATTCAAACTTTCATTAATAATCAATCAACTGAGCTACTAAGATTCGAACTTTAATAGATCATGCTACTTTGTATACAATTGGAGATTTGCTTTTATAGCCTTTACAAATTAGTTTTAACTTTTTACCTTTTTTACAATGGATCTTCATTATTACTAGAGCCGTCAATATGGGTTAGGCCTGTTGGGTCGGCCTGGCCTAGCCCTGGATTGAATAGGGGTGGGCTACGATTTTTTGAACCCATTTTAGAAAAGGATTTTTTAGCCGGACCTGAATAAATCAATTGATTTGGGGGCTTGAGAAATATCGATAGGGTCAGCCTATGGGCCAGTAAAAATTAATTAAAATATATGATATAATATTAAATTTTAAAATTAAAGAGAGTCCAAACTCAAAATAATTATGTTAATATTTCTATTTAGATATTTATACTTTTACTTGAAAAAGAACTTAATAAATAATATAAAGATAATTTTATTTGTGGATTTGATTAAAAAGTAGTAATATTAACATCATGTGATGTTTTTTTTTATATTTATGATAATATTTTTAAATTATAATTTTATAATTTAATTTAATAATTCTAAAAAAATATAACTTTTATAAAATCGAGCTGGCCCGTCAAGCTTGTAGTAAAATGTCGAAGCCTATATGGATTAACCCGGATGAGGTGGGCTAGCCCATATTAACAGCTCTAATTTTTACATATTTGAGATCTAAAAATGTCATTTTCTTTTATTTAATTTTGTAAGTGTTCATAAGATAGTTCAACATTCACCAATAATACATTAATGATAAATAGAATAAAAGAGTTATAACAAAGAAAATCAAAATAAGAAAAATAAGCATAATTTCATAAATCACAAGAGAAAATTAGTGTTACAAACTGATATCTTTGCAAGGACGTGAATTAATCCCAAAATAAAAATCAATACACATTTTGTGAAAAAGTTTTTATTCTCTCCTGTTTCACGTTTGTCTTTGTATAGATAGCTCTATCAAGCTAGCTAGTCTGACTAAAGCTCCACTAATTAATAGACATATGTCATTTTCTAAATAATAACGTTACATTTATTGTTATATATACACTGAACCTAAAATGTTTTTCAACGAAGTGAAAATTTTGGTGATGGATGATATATGGCCGATTGATAGCTATGTATGGATTTAATAACTTCAATAAATATAAAAAACTAATAATTTTTACTGTCATGTTTATCTTAATCTATATATCTTAGTCATAGAGATAGAGTCAATTGTTGCGTTTAGGCCATGACATAAACAAAATCAAAGTGCATCACTAAATCAAAGTATTTATTTTAAATAATATATCTTGTTAGCCTCCCCAATCTGTTCTTCTTTAGGAGACCACAGAGGATAATTGTTTAAAATATTAAATCTAGTCATCTTGATTTATTTATTGTCGTCTAATTTTAAGTACACCGAGTCTGAGCATGATTTATAGATGATAATATTGATTAAAATGTTCAAGTTGCAGCAGAAAAATTACGACACTAATTAAAATGTGTAGTTGATGAGCAAATTGTTTTTTTTTTTTTGGTAATTATTCTATTATCAGTATGAAAGTGTTGCCACTATATTTTTAATACTAGCAAAAAAGTCGATAAGTTAACATTTCACATTGATTGTGTCATTTTCGTCCTTTTCAAACATCTCATCTATACCCCGCTACGTCCCTCTATACCTTTTATTTTCACCTCCTATAGTATTTATTCAGATCATATATAAATATTTTTAGAATTATAATTCTTACTAGTTACATATCAAACATCAAAAAAAAAATCTTCTAGAAAATGTTTTCTATAAACATATTATACCAAACACACTCTTTTGAATTTTTGTTGCATGCACTATCGAAAAGTTGATCCATGTTTTCCATGTAAAGGAATTGACTATATGCCAGTAATAGGCCACACATGTTTCTATCATGCCTCACCTTATATTTCGATTTTTTACTAGATTTTTCTTTGATTTGATTTTTGTATTATTTGTTAAGTGACTGTTATTTTAATTTCCTTACCTAGCTTCTTCATTATTATATATATTTTTTAATAAAGAATATTTACTTTCGAGCAATTTTCTTTTCTTACGTAATTAATTATCTATAGATAAATTTGACAGTCTAATTAAAAGAACAAAACAAAAGGTATCTTTATGAATATGTTAGGGTGAAATGAAAAGAGAGAGTGAGAAATGTAATCAAGTAATCTTGGTTTAAATCAAACTTGAAAATGATCCACGAAAGTTTTTGCTTTTCATCTTTGACTATAACTGAGAAATATTTTTTTTAAAAATGTTTTGTCTTTGTGCGGCAAAAAAGGTGAGTAAAAAAACTCCATTCATTTTCATGATTTTATCTCCTAATTGGAAACATTGAATAGGTGTCATGTTCTTTTTCTTTTAGGCCGCAATTTCCCTTTGCTTTAAACATGACCTTCATCAAGTGATCAAATCAAAAACCACGTATAATAATAAATAATTAGTGCTATGCGCAAATTTTGAAGGATAACTTTCACGTATAGCAAATAAAAATTTATATTTATATGTTATAGCAAAGTTTGTATAATTACGCTCTATAGCAAATATAGAAACTGTATAATTCGCTATACATATACAGTTGAAACAAATTATATAAAATGAAGTGTATAAAACAAGAAAGAGAAAGACATTTGGGTAGAGAACTGTATAAAAACGAAATGTATAAAATGGATTGTATTATTATAAGTGTATAGAACGATTATATACAATTTAAATTTGTATAAAATGAGAAAGAGAGAAAGACAAAAGAGACTTGACAAGGAATATACAATTGAATCGAATTGTATAAAATGAGAAAGAGAGAAATTAGATACAATTTAAAAATTGTATAAAACGAGAAAGAGAGAAAGACAAAAGAAACTGGGCAGGAGAGTATTTTTAGTATATAATTATAAGTGTATAGGACGAAAATGTATGTACTTGCATGTGTATATACAATTTTCTCACACTTTGTACAAACAGAAACAAAATTTATATATTTCGCTTCTGTTTATATAAGTGAGAAATGCGAGGGTGGCGAGCGAGATTTGGGAGAGTGGTGAGCGAGATCTGGAAGAGGGGAGAGAGGGGACAAAAATACATACAATTTTCTCTGCTTTATACAATTAGAAACAATTTTTATACACTTGCGTTTGTATAAAAAAAAGAGGAAGCGAGTGACAGATCGGAGGAGAGTGACGAGCGAGATATTTGGAAGAGAGGCGCCTGACAATTTTTTGCAAACATTTGTTATGGAGTACAATCAATCAAACCCCATTTATTTTAGATTATTAATTTGATATTATATACAATTTTCTCAATCTTAAATACTTAAAAGTGGATCAAAAAGTATATTATTTATATATAAATTAATACAGGATTAAAACGATCTATCATATCATATAATTGTGATCTGATAATATTTGATTTACTATTAGTTAAAACAGGAAAAAGGGTTCTATTTAATTTCTATGGACGGCCGATCGAGAGAAATAAAAGTATAAAAACAATAAAATATGACTCTTTTGTATGGTCGGTTTATCCTGTTTACTCCTACTATAATTAACTTTTTGACACGTTTACTCGTTGATTATTAGTCTTCTTAATCATTGCTATTATAAAGTTTTAAAAATGTTTATATTAATAAACATTTTTACACGTTTACACTTTGCAAGAACTACGTACGCTAGAGGGTCAATACACATCTTCTTTACGTAATGACTTATATATTGCGTTTTCAACTCATTTTGACATTAATTAGCCTTCTTTAATTCATGTATTTAGAGAGACTAAAAATAAAAGAGATGGTATAGTCTATAGTGGTGATATTTTCTTTGTGCATCATAAATATGTATGTGTTAAAACAATAATTTGCTTTAATTCTAACTCGATCGAAAGATAGATACCTGTTGAGATGACATGAAATACTCCCTTTCTAGTTTTTATTAGGTACAGTTTAAAAAATATTAAGTAACTTTTTAGTTTTTAATATCCCACTTAGCATATTTAAAATTAAAATATTCAACGATATCTTAAATATTATATACATCTTTAGTTTAAAAGTATAATTTTTTTACTATCTGTATGTCGATAAAAAGAAAAGGAAATATAAAATGAAACGGAGTAATTTTACTTGTTCATTTTATTAAATCAATAGGATTTTTTTTTTTTGTCTTACTATCCTTAGTATTAAATAATTACATATAGAAATATTTGTCAAATTTAGAGCTTAATCCAAAGCATCATTATTTCAGTATAAAACATTTTTCTACCGAGGGTGGAGTAATTTTTTGCTTACGTTTGGTTTACGTAGGGCTTACAGGGCAAAATGGTGGGGTCTTATCTTGTAATTAATAATTAAGGGATGAAGATGACCTTAAAGAAAATACTAATATATCTTCGGATCGTACGATTAGTAGAAGGAAAATTGAGACACTTATAATTAATTCATGTGATGATCCATTTGTATTTATCTTCTTTAT